TTGTAAAGCTGGTGTTTAAACCATATTTTCCCCACCCAGGTTTTGGGCCCTTGGAAGGTGAACCTAGATGGCGCTAGTCTGTGTAAAAGGCTAAACTAGGATGGGGGAACGGCGCAATCTACTTTCTCAAGACTGGACATTTCCTCTTCGAGCATCACCCCGGCTCATGTTGAAACTGGACCAAAAGTGATTCAACAATCAAGAAATATACGGACCCCTGCCGGATGTGGTTCCTTCGGATGATACAATCGAACGGCCATATTGATCACGGATGGGAACCCCCTCCTAATTCATTCTAATGATTCTTGGGGGGCCTCTGACACATAGTCGTCCGGACAAGTCAGAGTTATCATTGCAGGCTTGCGCCCGGGAACTGATCAACGTGGCCTGAAGGGCCCTTGGGATGGCGTGTGGCAATGCTGCCCAAAACCAGGAGTCGATTAATTCCGCCTGGAGGCCACGCCCAGGGCATTGCAAGAACCAACCAAAAAAAACTCACCGGGAAGCTTCACGACATTAGGAACATTAATGAACAACCCCATGCTGGTGACCAGGCAGGTGCTCGGCTTTGAGGTGGACAGCATTACTTCTTATGCCCGCGAGATGTTCAAACAAAACTTACAACAAGTGCAACCACTGCATAGCCAAGCAGGGGAGCCCTCCTAAAATGGCGGGTTCTCGTCGCTTTCCCTTACAAAACACAAAAGTCAACAAACAACATACCCTCCCTCCCACTAACATGGCACCTGACAGGGGATGCCTTTCAACAGGAAATTGATGCCTTCTGCTAGTGGGAGGGTAGATGTCGCATTCAGAGCCACGTCCTTCGCAAAACTCCGATTCGCTCAAAGCGCCTCGAGCCAGTCCCTGGGCAACGAAGTGTCTGCCGCGCTCAGCTCTTGCAGCTCACGCGCCAGCGCTGCCACCTGTACTCGGGTGTTCCGCCGAGTCGGTAAGTTGGCAAGTTGAGTAACCTGCTTATAAGTCCCCCAAGTGCAGTTGGTTGTAAGTAGGTCATAACATAGGATACTAACCACTTACTAACCCACAGCAGGAGGACCAAGTGATAGGTTCTGGTGGGCTCAGGATCCACCAAAAGCCCAGTGAAACCCTGATGGCCGCAAACTCTGGGAGTGGGATGCCACCAACCCCCAACCATCTGAGACCATGGGGTCCCCAGCTCTCTGGTAGACGGCAGCCATCGCAGTATCGGCAAAGGTGTCCCCCTGCGACAGGATGAGCTCCACACAGCGGAGACACGCCTCAACATCGAGGACTCCTCTTCTTGCTAAAAACCAGGGAAACCAAAAGGCAGCCAGGCTGAAAAAGCTTTGGGGGTCCACTATGTCAGAAAGGTCGGATGGGCGCAACTGAGATCTGGGAAGTACAGGGAGCTTGGCCAAATGCAAGCAAATCATGGGTTGCGACTGGAGCTGGCTTTTTTGTTGAGCTCCATCCAGTGTTGCGGAAAACTGCTTTCGGCTTTCAGGCTCTTGCTTTGGGCTGCTTGGCCTCCCCTCACAAGGCCAAACCAAAGCTCCAATGTGCAACAAATCCTCTTCTTGTTCCCTCTTCAAACTCTAACAAACGAAATGCACTCTTGAGGGTGTTCAGTATCACTCACCCTTCTTGTAGAATCACATCCGGCATACCCGCCGTCTCACGTTTTGACGAGGTCATGCCACGTTCTACGCTGGAGCCACTGGCCATCTCGCACTGAGTGAACACGATGATGGCCATGCAAAAGTCCTGCGAAGCGCTGCCACAAACGCATTCTGGGAATGTGATATGAGTTCGGCCCCCGTCAGTTTCTGGTACATTGCTGGTTACTCATAGTGGTAGGAATGTTAATAGGGACTTTTGGTGGACATCATTTGGGAGGGGATTCATGTCCAACCACTTTCGAGGTAGGTTCCGTGCTGGAAATAATAGCCATGGGTTGCTTTTATGCAGCCGACATACTTTCGTTCTGGGTGGCCTTTGTTTGTCCCTTCCATGCGCAAACTTGCGACCCCAAGCCTTTTGGAATTCAAAGCTACGTGCTCGCGCTTCGCTGTTGCATCTTGCGCGAATGGACACTCTGTGCGCCAGGTCATCAGATTGTGCAGCAGTCAGGCGATCCCAGCTACCAGGCCAACGTGTTCGGGGATGCCTCTTTTTTGCAGAAGGCTAAAAAGTGAAACCACGGTGGCCAACCATGGCTCTGGGTTTTAGGAAAGCTCTGGCTGCTTGGCGAAGGCCAACAAAAAGCACCTCTGGCTGGTCTCATCAAGGTTGGCCAGTCCTCTGCAGACTGGGGAATGAGAAGAAGCTCATTCAGGAACACCTGCGCCCGTCTCAAGCAAGGTGTTCTGTAGCCAGGGCATGCTGATGGGGGAAGGAAGATGGGTGTGGCAAACTCACATTCATATCCAAACCTCCTCGATTGCCGCGACCACCCCCCAGTAGCCATTCCTTCGGCAAGCATGCGTGCCTCGCGCAGCGAAGAAAAAAACCTCGGCCCAAGCCGCCCCCCCTCCAGGTTGAAGCTCTAAGCCGAGGCTTCGGCTGATGAAGACGGCAAGGAGAGTTGCCCTGAAAAAAACGGATGAAGCAACAGGAAGTCAGATATTCCCCAAAGCCTCACTTCCGATCGAGAGGATTGACCAACAACAGTAACCAAACTTTGTGTTTACCACAAAACTGGTCCAAACCTAGTTTGCGAGTGAGAAGCTGCAATCAGTTGGTCATCGCGATCTTGCAAAACAACATCCTTACACAACATAACTCAATCTGAAACCGGACAAGGTTGTTCATATAACTTGGTCGCCCATGGGTATGGGAAAGCTTCTCTCTCCCGCATTCCTGCCAGAGTCCCTCGCACATGAACCACGGGCCGCCGAAACTTTTCGAGCAAGCCCCCACTTCGAAGCAACGGGGGGCTCGGTCCTGCGAACCGCAGACCGTCTCGAAGTCTTCCTGAAATCCTCGAAGCGCAGTGGGTCCCAAGTGCTTCGAACGGATGAAAAAGGAAAGCAGTGGCCATTTTTACTCAGGAATCCCCCCTACCTTAGTGGGAGGGGGTCCCCGATTCCATTTATCTAGTCTTCCCCATGAAAGGGAAAATGGAACTATACAGGGAATTCCAGGGGTCACCCGCTCCAATTCCATTTTTCAAGGGGCGGGGATACTCAGGAAGCCGGAAGGATGGACTCTGAGAGCTGTGGTAACAACTTCCTTTGGGACTTGGTCATTTGGCTGTGGATCTCAAAAAGTGGAATGCCCAAAATGGCACCTTTGCAAATGGAAACAAAGACTGAAACCTGCGTAACCCTAGCTCTTTGTTTTGATCCGTTTTTCGTGAGGAAGCTCATAGGGGCGGGATCCCACCGAGCACATGCTCATCGCAATTCCCCTGGCGGTTGGATCCCCTGAATTTGTGCAAAACCCGCCAGAAAGCAATCTTTGAACAATGCCACTCATGGTGCCCTGCTTGAGAAACAATCATCCATGGGAGCACTCATATAGTGGGGAACAAGTCTTGTTTCCCCTCTCGACATGGACAGATTTGGGGGGACGTGTTAGGGCCATATCTCGCAAGCAAACAATGCGCGGTGCCAGCGTGTCGCACCATGTGACCCCGACCCCAGCGCGTCGCTGGCTCAGGCCCGAAAACCCCAAACCATGAACACCAGAAAATGACTCGTATGTGTCGCGCGTACCAATACTAAAGCCGTGGGGATCCCTAGATTTCCCTTCAAAAGTTGCGATTTGCTGGTGGTTTCCCTTCTTGAACAAAAAGGGAAATGGAGGAACAAACATGCGGATTCTTCCACAACAAATGGGCGCAGCGGGGCTGGAGGGCTAAGAAGGCGGCTGACCAGAACTGGCACCACCTTCCAGGGGTCCACCTCTGACCTGCATCTGGTCCAGGGGGGGGGCCCCAATTCCATTGATCTAGTCTTCCCAATAAAAGGGACAATGGAACCAGAAATGGATTTCCAGGGGTCACCCCCCTCCCCCAATTCCATTTTAAAGGGGTTGCCCAGGAAGTGAATGAAATCATCTGCGCTTGGCCAACCGAGAGGAAGCGAATCAGTTTCGAACACCTTTCAATGGAACAAGAGCGTGCAAGCGTGCTTGGTAGGGAAAATGGGAATTCAACTTGCAAAACCTTTCCATAGAACCAGGAACTTCCTTGGAACAAGGTTCCAAGTCAGATTTGAGCAAGTTGGGCCTGCGAATGAGCGTGTAGAGAAACCCAACAAGTGAACAAAACAACCCGTGCCTTTCTTCCACACTTGGGTCGCGTTTTGTGGCATGCAGAAGCTTCAGCTCCTGGGAGCCCCACCGACCCACAACTTCTGACAGCGCCTTCTAAAACGAAACGCCTGCGGTTTGCAAAACTTAACGCATGCCACGTGCTAAGAACGGAAAGCGAAAAAGTACATGTTGACTCGACATCTAGCAATTCATTGAGAGCTGCTTCCCAACTCTCTCTCTGGGCATTCAATTCTAGCGAGCTCACCCGGAGGGGGAAAAAAACAAAACACGCACGCACCGCTTGAGGAAGAGTTCTGCGTCTCTTGCCACGACTGTATTCTCTTGGTACGCACCACGTTGAACCCCGCCCATGACAGCCTCACTGAGGCCTGCTGGCCGAAGTCTTCAAGGAGTCGCTTGGCTTCCTGCACCGATGGAAAAACCGGGGGGAGGGGGGGATGTGCCCTGTAAGCATTACCCCATCAAAGCGAGCCCACTTCAAAATTGGTACGAAAAGCTGTGTTCTACCACAATTCATTCCCCCAAAATTGACCAGCCTCCCTTGGCTTCCTCTCAAGAGATTGCTTGACTTCTTGCCTTTGGCTCGAAAACTGCATACATTTAGATTCTGGCGAAGTCACCAAACAACCGTGGTGTAAAAAAACAAACGCTATCACCAAAGCCGAACAAGATTCCGCGGCTCCCCATGTTCGTCAAATGAAAGCCCACGGGATGCAGGACCCGGCGCTCTTTTCACCCGCGGATCTCAAATGGTGGGCGTGGAGCTTTTGGATCTCTCAGTCGACGCCTTGGCGCTTCGAACCACCAGCGGAACCCAACAACGGGGCCATAGGCTTGCCCCCAAACGAATCACAGGCTTTGCTTTATGTCGTGAATGAGAACAGAAGGGTCGAAGGGTGTTGCAAGAACTCCTGGCTACACTTTCTACCAAGGCAGCCGGGCACCACTTTAACAGCAAACTCAAACTGCCCATTGGGGGGGTTGAGGGCTGGACATTTCGAGATACACCTGTCAACCTGTGATGGCGGAAGCCATGCCGCCTTGTCCTCACCGTCCATCTGCGGAAGATAGAGCTGACCCACCATGCTCGAGGTTTCCATCCTAAGTTCCATGCCGCAGAAGTGCAACACAGGACGGATGCTCACTCAATGTTTTTTGTTGGTTGCATCACTTGCATCCCTATAGCAGGATGAAACGGCAGCTCAGGCCAGTCAATGAAGCTCAGTTCGGGGTCAACTTGCCTGAGATCCAGCAAGTGTCAATCTACGGCTGGTGAGTTTTTCAAGGTTGCTAGCTTTCCCACCCAAACGACATTTGATTTGGCCTGATAGGGTATGTGTCAAATCACCTGAATGGGTCAACGTTTGGTTGAATCCTAAGTTGCCTGCTCGCTTACCGGAACATCGGTCCTCCAAAACCTGGGAAACGAGGGCCTGCAACCCGCAAAGGCCCGGCCCCAGAATCCCAATCATTAAGCTCGACAATCCTCCCCCCTAACCCCCTACACTTGGGTCTGGCTTCGGGGAAGTGCCAATCCAGCAGCTGAGACGGTTACAAAGGTTGGTCCCGATTCCTTTCACACACACACACACACACACACACGCTGCTCTAGCCCATAGACTTTCAAACTGCCCTTGATTCTCTAAACAAGGGGTCCGGAAATGATTGGAGAACCTTTAAACAAAAAGCATCTCTTTTTTTGGGGTCCAGGGAATCAACATGTTTGGCTGCAATGGTGTCGAAATAGGGGGGCCCACAGAACGGATGGATTTTCCTTTAGATGTCCATGTGAAACCAAGCTTTGCAAAGGTACCCGCAAGCCTGCGACTAGATTGATTCGCATCCTGCATGGAGTCAAGATTAATGGGATGGTCTGATGTTTAGGGTGCTGAGGGTTATTGCCAACCCGAACCGGATCACGGTTCGGCGCAACACAAGTGCGGCGTGCCCTTGGGCCGCATTGGGCCACTGTATAAAGCCTTATAGGATGGTGCTCTCTGCCCTTGGTCTGCCATTTGCTTGAGGAGACGGTCCAGTGGCGAGGAATGGCTCGCTTGTAACGGTCAGGGCACCAGGACGCAGCGCCAGATATGGTCCCCAGAGCCAGCGTCAAGGCAGCGCACCGCCGGGGCAGCCACTTGGGGGGCCAGTCCTTGCACCCGTGTGAAGCGCCAGCGTCCAAGGACCCAGGGGTTGCTTTTTGGGACCTTTTGACAAAGTGGAAGCAAGAAAAGAGCAAAAAAGGCCGGCTTTGGGCGAGCGAGCAAGTGAGGCTTTGTCTTGTCTGTCGTTTTCTGAACGACCTTGGGCTCACGCACACTTGGGGTCCTTGACCACCCGCGCTTTCACCATGGCTAGAGTCCAGTGACTGCCGAATTTATCGTCGCAGTAGTTTGCGACGTGCCCTAGCTATCCTGCTTCTCATCTTTTCCCGCAATATGCAGGTAAACCAGGCACCGGAGACCTCTTCTCCGATTACACTCCTGCAAAACTATCTGTAATTTCTACATCCACAACCTCAAATACGGCATCACCAAGTAGATAGGGGCCCACATCATACTGAGCTCAAACACCAACCAACAATGGCAATTCCTTTCTTTTCTTTGGTGCTTTGGGGAATTTCGGGGACCCCTCAATCCACGGTATGTGACGCATGCCTTGGAAATGATCAGGGAGGTGGAGAAGACGGCGATGCCTCCCAGGCTGCCCCCCATGCAGGCGGTCTTCAAGGCCCGCTTCCTGCGGTACGCCGCCAAAAAGCGCCTCAGCAACTCGGTGGGCTTGTTGTTTTGCCTCTGATTGGTTTTGGGGACCCCCACGAAAACAAGGGGTACCCTCAAAAGAAGGACAGACCCGATGGTGGTGTGGATTGGTGGACATGTCCACTTGACAAACTACTTCCAAGGGTTACTGGAGATGAATTGGCTGAATTGGGGCCTGAAAAATTTCTGGCAAACCTGCCCCTCCAGGCAGAGCGTGAGGAGGAATCTAGACTCTTGAAGAACTATCCAATATCTGTTTGCACGCCTTTGCTTTCATTGCGCCATGATGGTGTCATGGCATTTCATGTCGCCGTCGCCACCAGCCGGCCTGCTTCTTGAGAGCGAGCAGACACATGCAACATTCAACTATGTGCTCAGGACGACTCCGGCAGGCCGAAGGCAACACAAACAGAGACCAATGGTCGCGAGCGGCCCCAGTCTTCAACTTAGTTGGGCAACTGCTGGGTTTTGCCTGATATTCTGCGCGCCCTTGTCTCCACGCTGAGAAACCCACTTAGAATGGGCAAGCCCGAAACATGCGAGCTGAACCGCGACATCTAGCCGAGAAGCTCGTCTCCTGTGAGTTGGTATTTCATCCAATCGTCCATGGCTCGCTGGCCGACTGGAAGACGCTTCCCCCTTCAAACGGATGACAAAGGTGCAAACTGCTCTCAGCTTAATCCTGTCTTGGCACCTCGCTCTGCCGTGCAGTGTAAGCTGCAATTGGGGTCTCTCACATGCTGTGCAGACTCATCTGCGAAGAAGGGTCATGGGGCGTGAGCCCCCCTGCTTGTGGGACAATATAGGGCACCCTAGGCTTGCAACGATGTTAGTGTCGGAGTAATCCGAGGAAACCCCTACAAAACAAATCCTTACTAGAAAGTGGCACCACCCGTGATTGTGGAACGACCTAGGCGTTCAAACAGTAGGTACAAGCTTCTTGGCTGGGCATCAAGGGGCAAGATCATTCATATATATATATATATCATCTCTTCAAGAGGGGGTCCCGACTTTCGGCCTTCGGTCTCACTTGGTTCGAGGCCGAACTTTTGAGTTCTCATTCCTTGTTGGCCTTCGCTTCATTTCGTGAAGGCTGGAACCATTTCACGATGAAAACGCACCATGACACAACGTTGGGAAGGATGTCATGGGGCCTGAGGAAGGAATCTGAGACTCTGTACATCTCAGCACTGACCCTTCCACTGATTGGGGCCCATGTACTGGGTGCTTGAGGTGTTGCCAGCCCCCACCTCTGGTTGCGCCCTGAAGCGGCTTCAGCCCTGCTGTTTCATGTCTCTTGAAATGGGTCCTGAAGTTTCGTTCGCGGTTTTGGCAGTGTTTCAACATTAGGGGAGAAGCCAGTCCTACTTCTTACTCCAACAGGTTGATTTATCCGGCTGGCGTTCATCGGCTAGCTTAGGAGAAACATGTGAGAAGAAAGCTCACCTTAAATTGGCCCAAGATGATGTTGAAGACCACCAAAAGGGAGCATAAGGAAGCCGAGCGCTGGACCGATATGTGCTCTTTTTGCAAACATCCCCCACACCGTGGAAAGCTCGCCTTAAATGGGCTTACAAAGGTGGCGGTTGAAACCGCCAATAAGGGAAGTATGGGTGTGAGTTTCTTGGTGGACCCCTCAACATTCTGGCTTTCCTTTTGGTTTCCCTTTAAATGCCACAACAAACGGACGGGGTACCAACTGCAAAAAAAAGACGCCCCACATGAGTCACAATCAAAACCCGGTATTACAGTGGTTGACCCAGAACCATGTAAGGACATACGAAGGCGGCCGCAACTATTTACGGCTCACATGTAGGAACCCTGTCACCACTTGCGCCCTGCCTTGAAGGCAGAGCGCTCGCCGGGGCCTGGGTCCAGCGCCTGGTGCAGCGCCAAGGACCGGCAAGCCGGTTCTTCCAACTGGCTGTGCCTTGCGGGTTTGCTTTTGTGGGTTGAAGGGAAACCACCTGGATCGTCAGACGCTATGGCAAAGCCCCCAATCAGATGCCACGCCTTCGGCCTCTCCCGGAGTAGGTCCTCCACGGTACCTGCCAAGCCCACGCCGCTTGAAGCACCGAAGCACCGAAGCACCGCTGGCCTTCGCCGTCAAGTAGCAGCGTGGCCGTTGCCCTCGCTTGCAGCTCGAAGGTCGCAACACGTAAACGTGGTTCCGGACAAATGATCGGCCTGTGGATGAACGACATCCATTGCGTGCCAAGAAATGGCACCTATTGGAAGCCATTGTTGTTGGGTGGTATTTGCAGGCGAATCATTCCAGGGTTTCTTAGCATTAGGTGGTGCAGGAAGTCGACCATCCACAAAAAGGTGTTTGTCACGGCTGTGAAAAAGGACCCTTATCCTTTTGGTACCAACAAGGGGGGAGCTCATCTTCATGACTTTTTGACATGGTGCGGAGGTTCCCTCAATGATCATCCCAGAAGTTTACAACCAACCAAAAACGCATTTCCATGAGCGACAAAAGGCGGAGGTCCAAGTAGCGCACTGCCATGACGCCATGCGCCCGGGTATGGATTTCACTTGAACATGGATCCTTCTGTTGAAAGATACTTGGGTATATTTGTTTTAGCCGAAACATCTCCTGACTCCAGCGATCTGGCGGGGAAAGGGATGGGGGTGTATGTCAGCCAACCAGTCTTAAGAGGACCCCCCCCCAAAAAAAAAACAGCGGCGGTTTGCGGGTGGGCTACTGGATCGAGGCTGAGGCGTTAGGGACCTCAGATTGGGCGGGCTACGCATCGAAAACCTAGGGGTTCCAGCTGGTGCGACTTGGAATCTCAGTCCGACTATCCAAGTTTGGTCTACACCTTTAGCACTCCCGCGCGCCGGCTCCGGCGCAGCGAGGCTCGGTCTTGAGCCTAGCCCCAGGGCACACGCCATGGCCGCATTCCCCAAATCCGCCGATTGCAAGGGCCGGCAGCCGAGGCAACGTGTTCCATTCAGCTCATGCTTTTTTGCTCTGAAGACAAGGGCGCGCGATGAGAAGGTGCCCTGGTGAGATTGATGCACGTTAGGGCGTCCGGTCTGGTCTTGACGATGGAGATGGTCTTGACGATGGAGATGGTCTTGACGATGGAGACGGTGCCTGAGACACGTCAGCTTGATATGGAAATGTGATGCAATAACATGTGTTAAGCGAATGCCACCAAATAGTCATCGAAATCGGAAAAAATACCACCAACACCCACCAAAATTCATGCAAACCAACTATCGCCCAAATCCACTAAATATCAAATATCACCCAAATCCAAATATCACCCAGCCAACTGCAGCGACCCCAAGCACAAGAAGCGGTGCTTCCGCGCCTTCTTGGGCGACGCCTGTGGCGACTGCGCCTGTCGACGCCCGGCTGCGGCGGAAAGACTGGCACGGTGGATCCAGATCGTCAACCATCATTTTCCCCAAAGCATTGCGAAGGGTTCAGGAAAAACATGGTGCCGATTGCCCGAGTCTAAGTCGCCCTAGTTACACTTGCTCAAGTTACGGAAGGAGCCAGTTACAAGTGAATGTGCAAGCTACACGGGAGGTTTTCTGCGGTGTTTGCCTCGAGAAGTGGTCTGGTGAATTCACGCATGGAAACTAGAAAGAAGCACAGCTTGACAAGTATGAACTATAATCTATGAAGGCGGCGGGCCTGCACCAACTTGTCGATCGGGAAGTGGCGTGGTCGACAAAACTGAAGCTGTTTCAACTTTTAAAGATCTCTGCGTGACACTCTGCGAGGATTGGCATGCTCTTAACATTCCCCGCGACCCTCTGCAAGGAATAGAATGCTCGACATGCCAATCTGCGGCAGTTTTTGTTCGACCTTTTAACATCCCCCGAGCGGGGATCGGCTTGGGCGACGTGCAACAGCGGCGGAATATGTTGCTACTTTCTGCGGTGCGAGGGCGACTCTCTGCGTCATGGTCGATGTGTAAAAACTGAGGGCTTTTGCTGTTTGTCCTTACAACCTTGCATGGATCACCGACCTTCTGCGCAGAACGGCGCAGTCAATGTTGAAAACATGAAGGAGAAATGCTACTTCTCTTGCCGGAAAGTGGGCTCGACGACCGTTCTTTGAAGCCAGCGGCAACTGGCTCGAATCGCCCTTGGTCTGGGCGAGCTTCGAAAAACAGCTTTTTCGTGCGAAAGCGGTACGAGAAGTACACTCTCCGGCTCGAAAAACATCAAGTACGAACGTGGTGCGCAAAGTGCACTTTCTTGAGCATCGCACATGTTCAGTGCGAAAGTAGTACGCGAAGTTTCGCCGCTCTGGCTCAGAGTTTCCCAAATTGCAATAAGGGTTCATGCCCCAGAATGCCCCGATTCGCTCCCTACCCATCCCCCCCTCGTCCCCGCCCAGGTCCCCCAGCTGACCGATAAGGCCGCTGAGGTCGAGGCGTGCGGCCGGGGAAAGGGCACCGCCTCAGCCTCATTGAGCAGAATTCTAGGATGCAAACAAACCCCACCCCAGACACACCTCCAGAAAGGTTCTATCAGAATATAGTCTTATTTACTGGGGTTGTGTTTGAGTGGGTGGGTGGGTGACATGAGAAACCCGCCCGCCCAGCCTCCTATTGCACAGATTTCGTGATTGCCTGGACCGTCCCTTCCAGCTGGGCATCTCTGGTAGTTTCAGCCAAGTGGCCACTGGACCCCGTTGCTTCCTCCCGAACCTTGCACCGAATTTGGCACTTGGGATCCGGACATGTAGCCACCTTGAGTCATAGTGCCATCCCAAGAAGGCACAGGCATCCCCATCCACGGCTTACGCAGAGGGTTCCTTAAAGGATACATCCGAAAAATCGCCTGCTTAACAAGAGATCCTCTATCTCAGCTACTCAGTTCCCCAAAGGACACAGAAATTAAAGGTTAGCCTATTTGGGGCCATGCCATGGACCAAATCAGGGAAGCCGAAAGAAAGTGAGGCTAGGGGTGACTTTTTGATTGAGTCCAAATCTGAGGCTTCAGCGCTCCGCGAGCCCAGTCTTGAAGGCTCATCTTCCAGGTCCGGTTCACCCATTCGTTGAAGGCCTGAAGCACTGGCTCATAGGAACCACTTGAGGGCCTGGCTGCCAGCAGTTTTTAAGGAGAAACGGCTGGCGGCTGTGTCACAATCTCCGCGCAGCGTGTCACACACATATTTGTGTGTATCGATATGCATGGGAAGTGTATTTTGATGGAACATATAACTAAATCATAGAATGAACACAGCTTGCGCTGTGTAATTTGTATGGGCTCTGAACTAAATGATACGAACAACACAGCGTGTTAATGATGAGATGCAAGCATCTCAGCGTGTTTTATTGGAAATTGTGTGCTGGGAGCTTTTGTTGCTTGTGTTTCGTAAATTATCGCGTATCTTTGCATGCTTCGCATGCAAGACTACGCTCTGCTTGAATAATGTAGACTACAGCTCTTCGAGCTGCAGAGACGAGCATGTCATGCTCTGGATAAAGATCAGTCTCTAAATATTATTTGCTGTTCATGCTTAAAACACTAGAAGCAAGAACTCTGAACCACAAATATTGGAATAGCAAGCTGTGATAGTTTGATGATTCTGCATAATCTAGCTTGAATCAAGCTGTGTTCTAGAGATATGTGTGCAGAATTCTGCACAACCCGAATGACTGAATCAAAATGAAGTGAATCATTGCTCCATACAGCCTCTCAACAAGATTGGGGGGTGGGGGGCTGGAAGACCTCAGAAAGCTCCTGCCAAGTGGTCAACCCAACCGTCAGGCACACAGAAAACAAGTGGCGCCTGGTTCAGGTGCGAGAAGAGACTGAAGTGGTCTGCATCCTTGATGACCTGCATCTCTTTGGGATTCGGCCTTGGCATGTGGGCTAGGGAAGCCCCCATTTTGGTCGGCTGTTCGTGGTTTCCGCCCTTCTGTTAAACCACACAAAAGGGGCTCCATGACTAAAAAACATGAACTTGGTACACAACATTGGCACGCTGAGGCCTGCGCAGCGTGCTCGCAAACCCTGCGCGCAAAGAGCGGTCCCTCCCCCCAACCGCGCTCGCACTGCACCCGCGCCTTCAAAGGATTTGAGGGAGCAGAACTGGTCCTTGGTGCCAACCTCGCAGAGATGAGAAGCCGCAGGCGCTCATTGCAATCTTTTGTTCCCACAGCTAAAGCTCGAACCATAGTCTTTGTTCCCACACCATAGCTCGAGATTCTTGCTGTGGTCTGATCATAGTATCGGACGGCTCAATGCTTAGCCTTGGTTCTGCCTATGTTCTTCTCACTGCCTCAGAAACATGAGCGCCACTCATACATCAAAGGCCGCGTATTGCCAAGTGGCCTCAGAACTAGTCATTGCAAAACATTGCACGGCACCAAGGCAAAACAAAAGAACACGAGGGGCTGTTTTCTAGGAGACCTTCCCAAAACCGTTGGATTCCCTGAACCTTTATCTTTTTACAGCAGCCCAAAAAGGACAACCCTCAAACAAAACCATACGCAGCACGACCCCTCTTGCCATCCCTCCCCGATGACACCCAATGGGCTCGCACCAGGAGCAACTTTGGCTTCCCTTCGGACTCCGCCGCCTGGCAGATGCAACGCTGCGTTTGTTGCGTCGTTGCGTTGCGCCTTGGCACGGAGTGTCTGGCCGTTCCAGACGTACAAGGCCCAACCTCAGCGTGTGGAGCCGGCGACAACCAGCCCAAGGTTGCTTGTGAGCCGCGAAGAAACTAACTCCGTTCCAAAACAATCAATCTAGTCCAACTGCCTCTAGCTGACCCCGCCCCTCAGCCTCACCCAGCCCCAGCCCCTTGCCCTAGGACGTGGACTATGGTTTCTGCTCCCAAGCCCTTGCGCCCTAAGACCCCCCAATCCCGTGACCTTAGCCCCACCTCTCAGTTCTTGGGCTTCACCTAGCCCCAGCCCCTTGCATGCATGGCTGAACGTCGTTTCTTGCCTGCTGCACACGCCTGGCCCTGGAGTAAGACCGGATCCAAGGAAGACTGTGCGAAGCGAATACAATAATATTCACTACCAAAACGCTCCCAGCAAAGCAACCAGCAAAGCTTGACGAGGGAGAGGACAGGCAAAAACGGAGGTCATGATCCCACAAACAAACATCACAGGCTTCCGTCACAACAAAGGAAAGTAGATTTCCCAAAGGAGCGGTTCATGTCGATGTTTGATGCTGGAAGGGTTGCTGCAACTGCCAGGCTGGCATCTGGGCACAGCTAGGTTTGTCCCAAAACATGAGATCCCCTAGCATGGATGGGTTTTGCGGATGTGCCAGCAGCAGTTGTAATAGATCAAGCCCTATGGATACTGGGATGAACCACACATGTGTGTCCAAGGAGCTGTGCGGCCATTAGCCACGCTGAGTGATGGGCTGTAATCCAGCGGCGGCCCAATGGCGACGTAGCCTATGCTAAGTAAAGCTGCATTGCACGCGGTTAGTAAAGGACAACAAACGACTCAGTCACTGTGGAGGTTTAGCACCAACTTCAACCCTTGCACAAGTGATCCAGACTTGCCATCATTTTCTGCTTTCCACGCACGGCCATGGTTAAGCTTCCATGAGCAAAATCTTCGAAGGGTCCAGGTATGTATCTCTCGGTGCCCTTTTTGGGGTCGCTTTAAAGGTAAACCAAAGGGAAAACCAGGCGTGTTTCCGGCTCGAGTTTTTTTCGGCTAGGAACATGTCAGAACCAGGTCTCAAAGGGGTTGTGCCCAAATTTACTGCTGGGAAAGTTGTCCTCTTTGAAGGCCAGCCGAGGCTTTAGTCTGCAAGGGTAGGCCCTCAAAGGTGCATGACACTTGCTGAAAGCCCCCGTGGCCCGAGGCTCTGGCTGAAAGCTTGCGGGATGTCGGCCTATCCAAAGGCTTGCAGCCCACATGCCGAGGCCATCTGCAAACTCGGCGCTTTTCCAAAAGACGCGGCAGCAAATGGTGGGCTATTCTTCGGCGCCTCAAACTTTCAGTACAAAACCCTACCAAAGCTGGGAAACTCAAGGACAAGAAAAAAAGAGCTTTGGACCCTCTGAGTAAACTTCAGGAAACAGGACGCACGTGCGCCTTAACGATTTCAGGGCTGGTGGCGGCGTCTTTCCGCAACTTCCGATTTGTGGCTATCCTCCTGTCTTGCCTATCTGGGAATGGAGGTGCGTGGCCACTCCAAGTTCGCAAATGGCACCGACATGGTGAAACCCAACTGGACTTCCCCAAAGTGGGAAAAAGTGCTGCTTCCTTTCGGCTTCTGGGAACAATCCAAGCTGCGAGTTCCAACCATGACTCGCATATATATATATATATATATATATATCGGGGGGTTTTCTTCCGCTAGGACCGCGGCTGCGGCTGCGGCACCGATCAGTGAGCCGTAGCTGTAGCCAACGATGAGAACCTGACCGTCCAAAGGCGAGCGCGGTCAGAAGGGGTTTGCCCTCAAATCGGGGCAGGCCATGCAACAAATAGAACACCGGAAGGGAATCCCAAGCAATTCTGGGGCCTGCGTGTGAGCTCCGAAGAATTACCCTGCAAATGGCTTGTTTCTAGTTGTCGGGCGCAAAGCATCCGAAAGCAATACATTCCAAAGGCTAACCGGAACTTGTAACCCGCTTGGTTCCCCCAGGCCTCATGAAAATTGTCCTTCAAACATCTAGAAGGCCGGCTCCAAGTTTGAGCCGGGCTCAAAAAAAATGTTTCCTACTGGGCCCGGGTTTGAGTCCCTCTTCCCATTGCGCTGGATTCAAAGTGGCTTATCTCTGTTGTTGATTCGGGATATCCCTCTGGGATCGATGGGCAAACATGGTGGATGCCCTTAATCTTGCAACTTGAGAAGCCTCTATCCCTCCGCGTTTGGAACCCCCCCTCTTCCCATTGCTCCGAACCACGGAGATGCAACTTCGTTGTTAAATGGGTATACCCCCTACTCCAAATATATACCCACTTTGTTCAGGGTATTGCTTGAAAAACCTGGGTTTCCATGGTAAATACCTCCTTTTTTAGTAGAGGGTCGACATCATACCCTTAACAAAAAGGCTATTGGGACCAGGGGGTACGTTCAGTAAACCATGGGGAGCAGCTTCTCGGCGGCGAAAAACCGAAGGGTTCTCCATTTACGACCCAGCTGTGCAAGGATGTCTCACAAACGGGCACGCCGCTGGCACCCTAAGCAGTGAGCCCAACACCGCTGCCGTTCCAAACCTCAACCCGCTGCCTTGGAGGCTAGCACGCGGCCACGTGCCTGGGGATTTGGTCCATTGCTAGGCCACATCAGCCGACACGTGCGAATGAACATGGGACATGGGTCATTTTCTGATTCCGAGCGTGTTCGCTGGCACCCCTGTTCAACTGTTCAACCACTTGACCTGGAGCCATGAGCTTCCCAAACAACTGGACATATAGCTATCGTGCTTGCAGGTTTGGCGCTGCTCCAAAGCCACATCTTTCAGCAACGGAGAATGTTAGTGGTGGTAACGGTACCTAGTAGCAGCAATAAAAATAATACTAATAATATTAGCAGCACTACTCCTGCTACGTAGAGCTAAACAGAAGTAGAGATAGCAATGGAACTAGTGTCGTAGCAGTGGTGGTAGCAGTAACGGCCTCAACAGAATACTTCAAGTTGGGCAAACATACTCTCTATGCTAAAGGCACTAAAAACAAGCCAATGCAAGGGCTAAGGATTGCCTTGAACGGCGCAAGGCTGGCGCCCGCTATGTGACAGGCTCTTGGTATGTGTATATTTTGGCAGCAGACTTGCTTGAAGCTCATTCATGCCTGCTCAGCCAGCACTGACTGTCAGCCTCGCTAGATTTATGTCGGGCCTGATAAGTACGGCAACGTACGCGGCCAAAGTGAAGTGGAACAATTGGGGTGTTGTCTCCTCCAACAGTGATGGGGCGCCCAATGTCGAACCAAGGGACAGCCCCCCTAGTGTTATAAACAGGGGTTGATGAATCCGGGCAACATTTGTTGCAGAAACCCCAGCGTAGCCTTTGGAACCAACTTGCCATAACGGCCTGTCGAGATTAAAAAACCGTCCGGCACCCCGCGACTGTTCAGCCATTTGTGGCTTCCAATCTCGCCTCACATGAAAATTAAGGGAACCTTCAATCCTTTAAACACTTGTGTCAACCAAAGCTACACCACTCCTCTTGCCGGAAACTCATTGACTATTGGTGCAATGAAAGGGTGGCTCGCCCCTGGGGTCAAATGTTTAAAGTGGAACGCTGGACATATCAGAACGCCAGGTTCGGCTTTTGCCAGTGCCAAACTGTTAGCCTGCGCAAAAGTCCAGACCTCAAACCTAAACCCTCAAACCACCAAACTCAAACGGACCCAAACCCTAAGCTAGCAGATAGCCTTGGACAGAATGGCTAAAGCCAGCAGCACCAACGGAACCGCAGCCAAATTTCATCAGGGTCCCTGAAATGTCCGCTTGCGAAACAGGACCGAAACAGCAGATTCCCGCCTCTGGAGCGGAGTTTGGCTGGGTGAGCCACGCAGCGACTGCCCTGAAAGCGAAGCGGTATGGTAAGACCCGCTACCCCAAATGCTATCATTCCCTTTGGGTAGGAGATGGTAGGAGAGTCACAATACCCCGGTATTAAAATGGTGGATCCCCAGAACCATGTAAAGAATTACTAAGGCGGCCACACCCATTTATGGCTGGGATTGACAGTCCCGTACTTACCTTCATCTACCCGAGTTTTGATTGTGGCTCAGGTAAAGGGGACGACTACACCAAACTGAGCAAATCTTGCTGCCTACTTTCACTCAACTCTCTGGAAATGAGGGACAAATGCGTGGTTACATGCTGTGCGATGCTTTGCCATTTGCTCAGCAAGGGAAAAATGTAAGTTATATCAGAAGGGCCCCCTTGGTAATATATGGTAATATGGACCTTCCTCCCTACACGTTAACTGTTGCAATGGGTGGGGATTGGTCCCAAAGGATGAAGCAAGCCCTTGCTATTCCAAAAAAGGTGGAGTACAAAGTACCTGCCAAATTGCCATGGGAAACAACTTTGTCAGCTTCCATGCTAGTGGGAGGTGAACACCCGCTATAAACGTGGGCAACAGCGGTTGTATCCCAACCTGCGCTTGTCCAACACTGGTTCAGCAGCCATATGGAGCCGTGAGAACTTCATGGCCATAAATAAGTTTTCATGTCCTGAATAGTCGCTCTAGCATGCTCTTGCTCACCAGTAGCATCTACGCACAGGACCCCCAACATTTCCCCTTGGTTTCTCTTTAACCAAGGTAATTAACAAAACAAAAGGTACCGTCAAATCAACCATTACCCTCCCAGGCACCTGCCCTTCAGGACCCAGTCCTCTTAAAAGGAAAATGGTTGAATCCTTGGCGCCGGGCTTCACATCCTCCACCGAGCCATTGCCGGAGCCGATGCCGGAGCGGAAGTTGAGTCTGGCATCGGCTCCAAACAAAAAACGTGCCATGGGCCATGAAACTCGAAGACATCCGTTGACTAGGTCCTCCTGTAGAATAGGGTACCCGCTTTTCTGTAGTCTATTTTAGTAGGGGAACCCTCCCCAATAAAAGGGTGAAAGGGTACTACTGGGAGACCTAGTTGAGTCTTGCTCCCAACACGGTGTAGGTCGGCACTGAAACTCACAGCTTCTGGAAAAGTCGGGAATCTGCGAAATGCCTGATGCCTCCCATCTGCCAAAGACCACCCAACTTTTGTCTACTTTTACCAGCTCAGCTGGGTGCCAAGTTCCGGAACCATGCGAAGAAGATTTCGTGACCCGCAATGCCGCCCAGATTGTGAAAATGCCCGGCCACATCCCCGTTGTTCGATGTGATATCTTGGTTATTCTTGTTGTTTGTTTGCGGCATATCAAACATCAAAATGCCTCTAACTGTCGCCTCCCTTAAAAGATACGGGTTTACAACTTTAGAAAATCAATTTTTTCGGCCCTGTTTTCAAGTTTCAAATGGCGTATTGGTTTTGAGCTCACAGATGCAAATATATAGATGTATATATGTTTATGTGGGGCAGCTGTTTGTTTTTCATTTAGGGCCGGGTCAAGCGGATTGAAGTTTACCTGCTCACCCCACGAGGGCAGGCTGTGTTTCCAACCCTTTGGCATGTTTGATTTTGAGCCTTTTTCCAGTGTTGTGCATGCTCAATCATTTGGTGGGTGTTTTGCTAGCAATGAAAGAGTCTTAGCCAATTCGCCGCCCTGGGCAATTTCTGGGCGAGATTCTTACCGAGGATTATTTGTTGGGGTGATTCGGGGCTCGCCTTTTTTGTGTTTGTTTTTTCGTTTCGCGCTGCTGGCTGCTGGCCGGTGCAAGCAGCCGTGGCGGCTGTGCGCAGCAGGAGCGGTTTTGTGTCGCAGAGGTTCCTTATTAAGTTTCTGGGTTGGAGGAAGCGAAGTTATGTCTTATGATTGCAGGGTCATCCCAAAACTCGTAACTTGAGCTGTGGCTTTTTGTCCTTTTCAGGGCCTGACGTCAACCCATGTGTGTGGGGGCAGTCGTAGTCCACTTTTGTGATTTGTGGAAAGAGCATGTGTTTGTTGTTTCCTGTCACTTCGGGCTGTTCTGTCCCGCACCCTTCGCTTCGTGGAGCCTCAAGAAAGACAAGTTTTTCGTTTTTGCACGTGATTTGAGAAGCTTCAGTTGACACGGTCGGGGTGATGATCTACAAGAGTGCACTCCATTGACCTTCCAACCGTCATGGGCTCCACATTACATTGCACGCTCAACATCGCATGACATGTCCAAGCCTAAAAGCAGCACATCTGTGTTTCTCCTTGGGCTGTCGAATGCAACACACACTTTGCCTTTTGGATGAAGTACTGCGTGCCCCCTTTGGAGCTTACGTAACACTTCTGAAGGGATAATTTGGACTGGGGGAAGGCTGGCTCATTGATTTTCACAACGAAGAGCCTTCTTGTTGGTGGTGTATTGTCGCTTTTCCGGAGCGGGTCCAGACTTTTTCGTGCTAGGCTTTTGCGAATCAGCAATCCATTCAGCATGGATTTTCAATCAATCGAAAGGTTTGAGTCCAGGCACAAGGCGAACTGCCCAACAAATGCAGTCTCTGGAGCAAGCCTAGCTGTGCAACTTTGAAGAGCCCAAAATGCCGAAACGCGCTCGCTCTGGTTCGGTTGGCTGCCGAAGCCGCTCTGGTGCCCGCACGAGCGGGCCCAGCGGGGCCAGCGGACCCTCTACGGCGTCGGGCACTCGCACAAGCGGCCGCAGCGGAACAAGCGGCAGCAGCGGGCGCAGTGGCCGGAGTGGCTGCAGTGGAGCTAGCGGAGCCAGCGGCAGCCGTGCCTCACGCGCAAAGGAGGCACTTTTCGAGCTCTTTCAAGCCATGCTGCTGAGCACCTTGACAAAGCTGGCTGGGCCAGCTATTGTCAAAGGCTGCAAAGCAGTCATGGAGCCTGGCATATGGTCGCACCCGGAGTGGGCGACACATTGCCACGGCGAGCTCGACCCCGATCTGGATGGCGCCTCCCTTCACTTTCTGGAGATGTCCGAGGGGTGCAAGACATGGCAGTGCCTTGCGATGTCCTGGCTGCTTCGCACCGCGTTCAACTTTGACGGGGCGCTGCAGCAGGTGGGCGTGGCTTGGCACAGCCTTCGGCCTGGCAAGCTGTCCCTGGCGAAGGTTCGCAGTCTTTTTGCATCCATGCCCTTTGATGCGGCCTTGCCGCGGGCTAGGATGCAAAATTGGAGCCTTCTCACTGGCAAAGGCAAATTTTGCCTGCGGTCAGTGATCTCGCAGAAGTTCCACGAACTCACCCGGGGTGATAAGTGGAGGGAGGCACTGCGAGCCGGCTTGTCGCACCGGACCTTGGACAAGGTCCTGGGCGTGAAGAGTCAGTGTCTTCGGAAGCTGATTCTTCACGACATGTGGGTGTGCCGCCGGGTGGGAGAGAAGGACTCCTCAGTTGTCGGAGGCGGTGCGCGGGCGGTTCTTCTGGAAGCCACAGGCCCGGGGCTACCTCGAAACAAGGAAGAGCCAGTTCTTTTAAGCCATGACAGAGACGAACCTTTGCTTGTCTTTCAATAAGCTCATGCAAATAGCAAGGTGGCAAAAACAGAACAATCGATTGGCGAAGATCGGCTTTGATGCTTTCGGCACTAGGGTGTTTCAAAATAACCCCACAGTCAACTTGCACCCACCAAAGAGTCAAACAGGGAGCTGGCTTTTACCCTGACACAGGTTGGACGGGTGGGGGCTCGGACAGTCCTGCCGCGGTCCGTGCGGCTCCAGGGCGGCTTGACCGCTTGCACAAACACTTGGCTGGGAGGATTGCAGGCCACCAGATCAAGAAGTTTGTGCGGGCCGCCCTTCCTCATGGCTTTTTGCATCGCCATGCTCAGCACCTTTGCTGTGAATTGAGGAAGTGGCGGAACCGGAAGACGGCGCACAGAGGCCGAAAAAGGCGCCCTGGAGCAGCCCAGCGCGCCAAAGTGCGGGCTCGGCGGCTTCGGAAGGTATGGCGCCGGCTGGGCTTTTCTAAGCAGCCTTCTTGCCCGTGAGAGTGATTTCGACAACGGTGACAATGAGCTTGAGCAACTGGAAGGGCAAAAAGGGGGGGCCCAACTAAGGTGGTACAAACCTCTTGCCCACCCTGCGCGAACCACTGTGTTGCACTAGGGCAAGGCCCAACCAGTGGCTGTGGCTAAGTACTTACATACGGGAAAGCGCTGCCGTGCGAGGATGTTTCGCTGTCTTGCCTTTGCTGTGCTGCGTCGGCGTGCGCAACTGTCGCTAATTGCTGCGAGTGCAATTAAGTTTCCCCAGTTCATATTGATCGGGGTCTATCAGCACGAGCGTCGCTTTGCCAGCTTGAGCTCCAAGTGGAGGCGGCGGTGAGGTTTGCGGAGCCTTGCCGCAGGCCCCTGGTCGTTAAGGCTTGTTCTGGCCAGCTGAATGTAAGGACGATGGTGGATGCTCGAATGCCTCGGCCAGTAGAGTTGATGCCTGGTGTGCCGGAACCATGAGGTGAGAGTCACGTTCCTTGTGAGTGGCCTTGGCAGACCTGCGGACTGTGCATAGAGCAGCGCCTTCTGTTCCCAGGCTTTGAGCGAGGACTCTTTTGATTTGCCTAGCGACTCCACCCAATATCCCATGACCGGATTCGGTGGCGTCTCCCCGCAGAGGCACGGAGCAGGCGCATGTGAACAGACGGATCGCAGACCTCTGGCACCAAACGCAGCAGAGAAGGAAACAGAGTTTGCGCAGCGAGGGGTGATTCATATATATCATTATATTTCTCTATATATATATATATATGGTCACCGCCCATGATCCACACCCCTTTTGGACACAGCCAAAACACTCTAAAATACTGTTTAACACAGTGTTCTCTCGCAATTTGTACAAAGCAGATCCAGAGCAGAGCGGATTTCGGAACGGGCGAGCTCAAGGTTTCAGCAGATGGCTTGAAGATGCGCAACATCCCCCTAATAGGAAAACGCCCGTCCTTGACAGTAATAGTCCCTCCCTGAAAAAGCATGTTTTATCATTAAGCCCCCCCCCCAAATGGAATTCTTGGACCCGGCTGTGCAAGTTTTGGCGTTGGGACAGTTTTTGCGTCGGGGGGAAGGTCGCAAGAGGCGGGACACCTTGCTGAAGAGTTTCAATAGATCTAGTTGGCCTCTTGTAGTGCGTTGTCCTACCAGGAGAAAAGAGCTTGGGGCCCGGTAGGGCTTAGTGTTGATTTAGAATTGGCCTATTTTGGAGCCTGACATTTGTGCCTGTCTTCCTCTTTCTTTTTTGCATCTGTCTCTGTCTGTCTGCCCATCCCCCTCATTCCTCACTCACTCCCGGCATTCCCCTCATTTTTTGAGCCCCGCACTTTATTCCGTCGCTTTGCAGGAGACGCTCTGCCTTGCGGATGCGGCAGAGGCGGCACTGACTTGGTCCTTGATTCCGGGCGCGGGGGGGGGGGCTCTCATAGCTGGAGTTGAGCTGCCGTGCCACAATTTTGGTGCGGCGGACTTTAATTGTGTCGCTTTTTCTGCGCTGTGTGGTTTGTCGTTTGAGCGACAAGAAGTAATATGGCCCCTTCCTTAAGTTCCCAATTTGCTCGGACTGCATGATGGATTGCGTGAAGGTTTGCGTTGCGCGCATTGTGGCAGAGAAGCCGCAGAGAGCGGGCATCGTTGCGCCGGGGTGGCAAGGGGGGGCCGGGCGTCGCACGCTCCTAAGGACGTCGCTTCGGATAAAACTGTAGGGCCTCTGGCTCTGGCCGCCGACGTTGTGCGCAGGTCACTTGGCAACCCCTGACCCTGCTCGCGTTTTCGATTTGCTGTTGAAGTTGTTCGGGTCCACTGCAGTGCGCCCAGAAACACCCTAGACTGGCGGCTTTTAAGGCAACCAGCAACACCCAAATTAGACTGGTCTCTGCCCAGATAGGCTCCGGGGTGGTCTGGGGCGG